CAGCACCACAATTCAAAAGCATCAATTCTTCGGCGGTCAGCTTTCTTTATGGTCCAGCTCTCACTTCCATACATCTCTACTGGAAATACCATAGCTTTGACTATGTGGACTTTTGTTGGCATGGTGCTGGTTCCCAAGTGGGAAGAAGGAGAGGGGAGCAGGGGAGGGGGGTGAAGATTAAACAGGGCGCATCCTCCCCCCCCCCAAAAAAGAAACCGGGTTTCTGGAGACCGTGGGAAGGAGGCAAGAGAGATCACAGACTCTCCCCCAAGTAGCAACCCAACGTCTGGGATTGTCTATATTCTTGCACAGGGCTTTGGCCGAGAAGACCTGCTATGATATCCTGATTTGACAAGGACACCTCGTTTCTAGATCAGCTTATCTTGGAGAACATGGAGAACATATCCCAGGACGACATAGGTGAGGAAGACAAAACAGAAGTGGTACGAATTACTGAAGCGAGTTTCACTCTCTAGAGCGGCAACGAAGAAGGTGTGACCCCCCATATCTTGTCAGGATGAAATCCTGCTCCTTTACCTCCGGTCTCTCACTGTGGTGAGGGCTGATGGGACCTGTAGTCTAAAAATGTCTAGAGAGCCACTCCTCCCCCACTTGTGCACAAGAAATGTGTGAACAAAACAAGATCACATCTTACCTGGATCCATTTCATACTGGTCTTCACTCAGGATGTTCTGACATTTCCATAAAGTCAGAGGAGAAAGAGGGGATGTACCATCAGGGATCCAAGGAAAACACAGGAGCTGGAGAGCAACCAGGGATTCCTAAGTTTTTCATAAAGTCAGAAGAAGAAGAAGAGAGGATTTGCAACCAAGGATCTGAAGAAAACACAAGCCGGACGGGTGAGGGAGCTCTTTGTAGAACTACATCAGGAAGCTGCTGAGTCAGTTGATCTTTGGGTCTCTCTCAACTCTGTAATTTTATGGTTCTGTGATTCTCTGATTGTACGATGCTTGCAGTCACTTAACTGTGGAATATTGCATCCCTGGCTGACTACCAGGGTTGACTTCCCTCCTGCCAGCATTTAATTTAATTTTATATCCCAGGATGACATAGGGTTTCCTAACGTAACAGTCAAGGTGGACCAAGAGGAAGACCCACGTGGCTTGAATGGGAGTGAATCGGAGACCTTCTCCAGGACCAGCTCAGGATATCCTGACACTGCCATAAAACCGGAAGAGGAAATGGATCACCAGGGATCTCACAAGTCAGGAATTCTTAACCTTTTCATAAAACCATATCCCAGGATGACATAGGGTTTCCTAACGTAACAGTCAAGGTGGACCAAGAGGAAGACCCACGTGGCTTGAATGGGAGTGAATCGGAGACCTTCTCCAGGACCAGCTCAGGATATCCTGACACTGCCATAAAACCGGAAGAGGAAATGGATCACCAGGGATCTCACAAGTCAGGAATTCTTAACCTTTTCATAAAACCAGAGGAGGCAGAGGAGTGGAGTTACCAGGGACCCAAAGGAAATACAAGCATGGCTGGTCTTCACTCAGGTGAGGTAGCCCTTCACCTCATTGCTTTGGCAGTGGGCTGGGCTCAGTGACTGGAAGGACCTTCCAAAGTTCTGTCATTCAGTACAGTACTTCGACAAGTGTATGATTCTTGTGGCCAATGAATAGCTGAAACATTGCATTCCTGCTGACCACATGTTTTTGCTTCTTTTCTTCAATTTTTTCTCTTTTTTATCTATCTAGCATTTATTATTTTAGTATGTTTTGTTAGTAATCGATGCTTATGGATTTATATTATCTTAATTGTATATATGTTGTTGTTAGCCGCTCAGAGTGGTATAAATATACCAGATGGGCGGGATATAAATCAAATAAATAAATAAATAAATAAAATAAGGTGATGTCTCTGCTTTTTAAGATGCTGTCAAGGATTGTCACCGTTTTCCTCCCAAGAAACAGGCATCTTTTAATTTCGTGGCTGCTGTCATCATCTGCAGTGATCATGGAGCCCAAGAAAGGCCACATCAGAGTGAGAAAATCTCTCACTGCTCCATATTTTCCCCTTCTATTTGCCAGGAGGTGATGGGACCAGTGGCCATGATCTTAGCTTTTTTGATGTTGAGTTTCAGACCATTTTTGTACACTCCCCTATCACCCTCATTAAGAAGCTCTTTAATTCCTTCTCACTTTCTGCCATCAGAGTGGTATAATCTGCATATCTGAAGTTGTTGATATTTCTTCCGGCAATCTTAATTCCCCCTTTGGATTCATCCATTCCTGGCTTTTGCATGCTGTATTCTGCATATAAGTTAAACAAGCAGGGAGAAAATATACAGCCTTGGCGTACTCCTTTCCCAATTTTGAACCAATCCGTTGTTCCATATCCAGTTCTAACTGTTGCTTCCTGTCCCACATATAATTTCTCAGGAGATAGAAAAGGTGGTCAGGCACTCCCATTTCTTTAAGAACTTGCCATAGTTTGCTGTGGTCCACACAGTCAAAGGCTTTCGCGTAGTCAATGAAACAGAAGTAGATGTTTTTCTGGAACTCTCTGGCTTTCTCCATAATCCCTTGCTTTTTCTGGTCCTCTGGCCACTGCAGAGTTTTCCAAACTTGCTGGCATATTGAGTGTAGCACCTTAACAGTGTCATGTTTTAAGGCTTTAAATAGTTTGACTGGAATGCCATCACCTCCACTGGCCTTGTTTTTAGCCATGCTTTCTAAAGCCCACTTGACTTCACTCTCCAGGATGTCTGGCTCAAGGTCAGCAACCACACTATATGAGTCCTGCACACCACAAACATTATAATTAATATGTTTGTGGTGTGCAGGACCTGCATACCACATATAATTAATATGTTTGTGGTGTGCAGGACACAATTTTTGATTACACTGGGTTAATTACGCACCTCAAGCTCCATGATGCTATAAAGTCTGTCTTACTATATTAAATTGTGCTATGTTATCATCAAATATTGGAAGTTATATTAGTAGCAATGATAGAGATATTTAATGAATAGCTTGTGACTCAAGAGAGTTCACTGTTTAAGTAATTATGAATTAGCAAAGATTTGACAACATCTACATTTGTCTTCTGCCATTATTGTTTTACTTTTATCATTTACTTAAATATTATAAAACATTGTTAATTATATCTATTAACAAAATCTCTCCAGCTCAATGGGCATTTCATATTGGATTTAATTTACAGTCCATCTTTCTTGCTTCATTATGTTCTCTTGCAAGTTTCTCTTTAATAGAGATGTAAAGAGTTTGTGTGGAGCAGCAACTTAAAATCCACTCGGTTTGAGTTTGAGAGGTGCTAATTACCTCATTTTTTAGTCTACAGACACTGCCTGAGGCAACAGTTGAAGGTATTTGCAAAAAGACTTAACAATGCCTGTTGCACTGAGTATTAAAATAAAAAACAAACACAATTAGGACCTCATGGCACATAGTTCTTGGTTCTGAATGCAAGGAAGACTCTTCAAAATAGGCAGCTTGGGCACTCTCAAGATCTGTTACTATGTGGAAAAACAAGGAGCCATCTAATCTATGAGTAGAAACACCTAAACTTAAATCTCTTGCTTTGCTAACACAAAGTATTCTGTGTTGCTCCCATTGCTTTAGCTGTCTTTGTGCCTTACCCAAGGCAGCAGGCAGATCCACAGGGGCTACAGCCAAACATTTGTCTACAGAGTGGGGAGAGACTTGTAAACTGATGGATACCATGACATCTTTGTTTTTCACTAAGTCTTAAATCTCTGTTTTGCTCCTCAATCTGCTTACAGGAACAATGGCCATTACTGGCCATATATGTTTGGATCTTTTGCTTGGTCCCGGATCCCCTCAAATTTTGTGCCATTCAAGCCTGAAGACAAATTCTGCAGAACTCAGAAGCTTGCTTTGTTTGTAATATTTTAATGATTTTCCAATAAAGGTATTAAACAATGCACACTTTTAATACTGTATATGGTCATAATTTAGCTCTAACCCCTGCAACATACACATTTTAAACATGCAGTTTAAACACAGACAGTACCTCTCACGGATTTCCACTTTCTCAGGCTCAGGATCTTGAACTTCTATTGCTTCTTGCACTCCAACAGGTTCATCTTTGCTGTTCACTCCGTGCTGTTTTTCTATTGCCAGCAAGCTGCTATTCTCTTCCGTTGGAGCATATTCATTCCCAACACATTCATCATCAGAATCTGAAGAAGAACTTTCCTCTGTACTAGAATCATCACTTGATGTTGTTTCATACCTAAGTAACAAAATTACACTGTCTACCACCACATTATTGAATATATATTCAGTGCTATGTAAGCTATTTTCTACAAATATATTCCTTCAATTTAAAAATCCCTGAAGCAACTTCAGGATTCCTGCTGCTTATCCATTACCCTCATGATGCAACCCTCCTCCACCCCGCCCCAGGTAATCTCCAGCGAAGACTTGACTGAGTCTTCTCTCCAATGTATTTAAATTGCTTTAGTAGTAAAGTTTGTTGTTCAAGTGTATACATATCTGCTTCTGAGCAGCTACACTACTCAGACCAATCAACACCATATAATATTAACAAGGGTGAAATAAGCCAATAAATCTGTGAGAGAAAAAACGGTCTGTGCAGGCAACATGAACCCACGAAGGAAGTTACTTTTTTGTTTGAATATTTTATCACTTTCAATGTTTTACATATAAAGCACATTTCTAACTATACTTATCAAGTACTGTTTTCCAAAAATCAGAAATACATCTGGAAAAATGCAATACAAAGCCATGTTCACTTGATTTGAAAGATCTAAGAACTTATACAAGGCATTTTCTGTGGACATTTTTGTAGCCAAGTACCTGAACAACGAACAACCAGCTGGCTGCAGTTCAAGAACCAACCAGACTAGAAATAAGGTCCCTGCAGGATTTTGTGTTTATACAATTTTATACAATTTGAGATTTTGTTTGATACAATTTTATTGTTCAATGGGAGCTGGGCTTCTCCAGACGTAGTGTTTTACTGATCCAGCATACATAGTGCAATTTCCCTTCTCTGTTTCCCACTCCACCTTATCTTAAATGCGCTACATTTTTAAGAGAGAATGGAAAGAGAAAAAAAATGAGATTCACAGAGAGCAAGGCATTGCTACACAGGAGCCAGGCCATCCTCTTATGTTTATTACCCATCTGTCTTTTAAGACAGTGGTGTTGCTGCAGAGAAACAGTAGAGAAGTGCTATTCTATTCTATGTAATTCTAAAAAATCTCAACAACAAAAAACCTTTTTTTAAAAAAAAACTCATTTTCCCAGTGGTAAATGACACCTAAGGAAATGGGATGTCTAAACAACAGTTATGCTTCTCCAAAGATATCTGGATCCCTTGCAAATATTGTGTATATGTTGCATGAAGGAACAATTGTCTAGAAAGGTCCTTAAATAGGCACAGAAATGATGCCTTTCTGGTCAACTGGATAATAATTTTGCATTGTGTTATTTTGTTTTCATACGAAAATGTTTGTAATCAATAATGTCTAAAACTTAACTTCTACGGCCTTGGCAAAGGAAAGAAAATAGTATTTTATAGTTGAACATCTTACCCGCCATTTATACCCACAAACTGCAGATTCTTCTTTGCATTTTCATCTTTCTTCCCATCCTTTTTCTTCATAATAGATTTCAACATGCCATCATTCGCACATACTGTCAGAGGGAATGCCAGGAATATGTTTCAGTAAAAGTGTTGCACCCCACCCCCATGCATAGCTATTTTCAGACTTCAAAGTCAAGATGATCAAATTACTGTAATCTAAAAGTTCAAGGTACAGTGGTATGTTTATGGACATTATACAAGGTACAGTGGTATGTTTATGGACATTATACATATTATACACAGAGATGCACTTACATTTGGGGGTGGGGAGTCAGATGACCTGCCTGCCCTGGGGCCACACAGCTTAGAAACATCCACACTGTACCTGGCAGGCACATCCCCTTGCCATCCACACATCATTGGACCAATATAAAAAGTATCTGATTGTGCCAGAGTCCCATCTCAGGCAGAGGAATGTGGGCTGAGTCCCTTCAAACACCGTCTGAAAGTGGAGCTGCATACCACCACTGTCTCTACTGGCAGTAGAGGGTGATGCTAGCCCATCCACCCTTCTCATATATTCTGTCAGTATTTGTGTGGGAAAGAACAATAATATAACTATCGAATTTTCCAATACCTAGCACACAGATTGAATTTGCTTCTAAAATTATTCCACACAGCTACATTATTGTCTTTGCCTACATTCCATAAAAATAACCATATATTCTAATTCACCTTTTCCTCTCAGGCAAACCCTAATTCATGTTCTCAAAAGACAGCCATGTGCCACTGAAATCTCTAGTCTAGTCTGCACAGAACCATAAAAAGCATGTACGTGCAGAGAAAAGAGTTCAGTGGGAATGAGGCATGCAAATACTTTTGTTAACAAAGCACATACAGTACTAATACAGAAGGCCCTCTTTTTGCCTTAAAAGGAACCAAAACACATTGCACAAATGGAGAATGTCCATTTTACACCTCATCTTGACATAAATCTCCTTTCTTGTCTGCTATTTGATACCAAGTTGCTATTATATTTTGGTTGCTGACATGAATAAACAGTGTATCTCTGTGTATAACATCCATATTATACTTAACACTCCTCAGCACATAAGCAGCAGTGTACAGATAAATTTGAAATACAAGTGCTCTTCATGAAAGTCCATATAGTTCGCAATGCAGGCAGCAGGGCTGGTCCACATGGACAAATAGGGAGCATACCATTTGTAAAACAAATGACTTGTAATTACACTTTCAAGATTAAAGAACACTCAAACACTTTGCATTACAACAGGGATAGCTTGCAACAGTATACTATTGCTGGAACAATCCCCTATCTATCCTATGAGGGCAGCTCAGAGGGAAGGCAGGAGGCAGTGGGTGGGCACCATCATCATCATCATCACATAACTGCAGAGCTGGTTCAGAATGCCCCATTCCTAAGCCTTGCTTCACTACACCACTGTGTTCAAGAAATTAAAAAATATACAGTGGTGCCTCGCATAGCGATGAAATTGCTTTGCGATGGACTTTTTGCCATTGCAAAAGCGATCGCTTTGCGATGGTCCCTATGGGGAAATTTCGCTTTGCGATCATCGCAGGGAAGCGATCATCGCAAAGCCTTCATTTTCAGCCAGCTGATCTGCGGTTTCAAAATGGCCACACGCTGTGTTTCCTTGCTTAAGAGGCACCAAAAATGGCCGCCCCTATGGAGGATCTTCACTTAAAGGTGAGTTTCTAGCCCATAGGAACGCATTAATCGCATTTTAATGTGTTTCTATGGGCTTTTTATTTTCGCTTAGCGATGTTATCGCTTAACAGCGATTTTTCTGCACGGATTAACATCGCTAAGCGAGGCACCACTGTATATGATATTAATAGAGCCACGGTATACAATGTCCTAACAATATGAATTGCAGTTGTTCTACATGAGTTAATCATATTTCTCCCCACAGGGCTTGAAGGAAGCCATACCAACAAAACATGGTCTTTGTAGAGACTGATACAGCCAACAATAGCAAATACAAGTCTGTATGCAAATTACCATATAACCCAGAGGCAAGCTGGTCATCTGTTAGATTAATTGGAGGCACTGTGCTGTCTTGCGATGGTGAGGGCTTCTGATCCAGTCCTGTTTCTCCTATGGTGGTCTTCTCTTCAGATATGGTCCCAATTTCATTTTCTAGTTTTAAGGAGCTTGAAACTATGTGTGAAGTGCCAGGGCGGCCACAAGGAACATTTAGCAGATTTTCTTCTGTTTGGCAAAAATAAAAATAAACATGAAAAAAGGAAGGATTATTAAACAAAGTTATGCCAAACTGAAAATTTTTTTGAAGGCTTTCACAGCCAGGATCCAATGGATGTTGTGGGTTTTTGGGCCTGTTTGGCCATGTTCTGGTTTTTTCCCCCTTCCTAACAGTTCCCCAGTCTCTGTGGCCGGCATCTTCAGAGGACAGAAGCTAAACGGCCCCAAAACCCCACAACAACTATAACACATTTTTTCTTCCTGTGGGCTGTACCCAGTGATGTGATCACACTTGCCTAAGAATCACTGTACTAACAGCTATGCATTTTGAGAAGTTAGCACAGCGGTGGTACCCAATAGCTTTGCACAAGCAAAGTGGTTGTGCAACAGGGCATGCAGCTTGTTATACAACTTCTTGAAGAACTACTTGAACACAAAACACAATCTAGTACAACTATGCTAGCAGGGATTTTCACTTTCTTGGCTTAATGCTGGATTTTAGCTCACATCTATATACTTTTATTCTCTGATTTAACAGTCCACAACAGCCTATCACACAGAGTAACTACTATTATTAGAAATACATTCTTAAGTTGTTTGATTTCCTGAGTTTCCCAGTATATTTGCCTAATCACACTCTACCTGCTCTTCCTCTTGAACTACACAGTATGATACATGTTGTGTAGGATGTAAGATAAGGTAAAGCACCAATTCCTGTTTCAACCTCTGTTAACTTTTATTTTTCTTCTTGTTTATCATTATAATCTTAGAATGGTAGAGCTGGGAGGAACCCTATGGATCATCAAGTCCAGCCCCCGTCAAGGAGGCACAGTGGGGAATCAAACTCCCAACTTTTGGCTCAGGATGTTCTTACATACTTAACTGATGATGAAGCCTTCTCTATACTTTCTTCTTACCAGAACAATGGTAAGAAGAAAGTATAGAGAAGGCTTGGAATCGCTCATGATCCAAAACATACCACATCATCTGTCAAACACAGTGGAAGCAGTGTGATGGCATGGGCATGCATGACTTCCATTGACACTGGGACACTAGTGTTTACTGATTATGTGACAGAAGACAGAAACAGCAGGATGAACTTTAAAGTGTATAGGGTTATTGTCTGCTTAGATTCAGCCAAACTCAGCAAAATTAATTGGATAGCACTTCACTTTACAGATGGACAATTACCCAAAACAGTGTGAAAGCAACCCAGGTAATTTTTTAAGGTAAAGAAGTGGAACATTCTGCAATGGTTGAGTTAATAACCTGATCTCAACCCAACTGAACATGCTTTTCACTTGCTGAAAACAAAACGTAAGGCAGAAAGAAAGGGACGTGGTGGCGCTGCGGGGTGAGCATGCATTTGACTTGCTGAAAACAAAACATAAGGCAGAAAGAAAGGGATGTGGTGGCGCTGCGGGTTAAACTGCAGAAGCCTCTGTGCTGCAAGGTCAAAAGGCCAAGCAGTCGTAAGATCGAATCCACGCGATGGAGTGAGCTCCCGTCGCTTGTCCCAGCTCCCGCCAACCTAGCGGTTCGAAAGCATGTAAAGGCAAGTAGATCAATAGGGACCACTTCGGTGGGAAGGTAACACCGTTCTGTGTCTAAGTCGCACTGGCCATGTGACCACGGAAGATTGTCTTCGGACAAACGCTGGCTCTATGGCTTGGAAACGGGGATGAGCACCGCCCCCTAGAGTCAAACACGACTGGACAAAAATTGTCAAGGGGAACCTTTATCTTTACCTTTAAGGCAGAAAGACTTACAAACAAACAACAACTGAAGACAATTGCAGTAAAGGCCTGGCAAAGCATCACAAAGGAGGAAACCCAACGTTTGTGATGTCCTTGTGTTCCAGACTTCAAGCAGTCATTGCCTACAAAGGATTCTCAACAAAGTACTGAAAATCATTATTTTATTTATGATTGTGTTAATTTGTGCAATTATATTTGAGTCTTTGAAATAAAGAGACCATGTCTGAAACTGGTTGTAATTCCTAAATGTTTCATACAGTACATTCGTTCAATCCCTTGAATTAAAGATGAAAGTCTGTACTTCAATTGCACCTTGGTTGTTTTATTACAAATCCATTGTGATGGTGTACAGAGCCAGAATTATATAAATTGTGTCAGTGTCCAATTATTTCCAGACCTAACTTTATTAATTTTTTTCCCTGAATAGCTCAGTGAAATGGAGCACCTGGCTGTAGAACTAGGAGTCCAGAGTTCTATTCCCCCCTGTGGAGGAGAAGAGCCAGCTATATAGCTTCAGGTAAGCTACGTGGTCTCAGAGAACCCTCAGAAGAAATGGATATTAAATTACTTCTGAGTTCTCTATACTTAGAAGACACTGAAAAGGGTTGCCACTAGTCAATTTTTAATTTTTAAAAATTGTTCCATTTATAAGCCTCCTTTCTCCCCGTAAGACGACTCAAAGCAGCTCACAAAGTTAAAAGAACTGAAATTAAAAACACAGTAAATGACACATTTAAAGAAATCTCTCACCATAATTAAAATATTTCAAGTAATTAAAAGTAGAGGTGGGCCTGAATTAATTTGGGTACCTTCATACAGAGTAAACCCCACCTTCCAGGCTGACTGGCCGACTCACATTTCATCACATACCACTTGGGTCCTTTTCTGGTGGCACTTCAAAAAGGGCACCAGCTTGAGCTGCCCATCCCTGCCTCCCCCAGCAGCCAACCATTCATTGGTTGCGTAGGGAGAATCCCCATCTCACCTCCTCATCGGAGTGGTTGGTTGCTGGAGAAGGAAGAGACAGGCAGCCCAGGCTCCTGTCCAAACTGGAACACTGCCAGAGAAGAAGGACCCTGGTGGTGCACAACAAAATGTGAGTGGGCTGGCCGGCTCGAAGGCTGGGTCTCTAATTAAAAGCATTAACTTTAAAAACAAACACAAGCTGAAAATTTTAAAACCAGCTTCAGGGACTCAATTTAAAAGTTATATACTAAAGTTAAAGTTAAAAGTCTGCCTGAAAAGTGGGGTCTTCAGCTGTCAATGAAGGGGGGGCAACTTAATCTCTTGTGGGTAAGCATTCCACAAACTGGGAGTCAGAATTGCCTTGATGGCATGGAATTATTAATGAATATAAACTATTTTGAACAGAAACCCTTGTTATTTTGCACCACATATATTTTTTTAAGCACAACATACAAAGTTTTCACACTAAGAAGGGTTTTGCAAATGTTATTGTTGACGAGGAGTCCCATTGATCTCACAGAGAAACAAAAGTCTTTCAACAGTTGCCCACTTTTGGACAGACTGTCCAAACCTATTGAGATACTCTCTTCTGTCAAAAAGGAAATAAAATCTATGTGTATTCATACGTATGCTTACTAAGGATGTGTTACTTATGTTTTTCTGAAATCATATGGAAAAATTTCATCACCTGATTGTGAAACTGCATCTGGATTTGCTTCTTTTGCAAATGAAAATATCCAAAGTAGTAGGTATATTAGTCACACTGAAATAAACTGTTAGTCTTTAAAGTGGTAAAGTGTGTTGCTTTTTTCTTTTCTTTTGCCAATAAATGGAAAGCTGTAACCCATGCCTAAAATGATGTAATATATTAATCGGTTCCAAATAATTCACAAACATCCTAGTTCAGAAAAGCCACTTTTTTGTGTCACTAATAAGGCATACATACAGTAACATGCATGCCCAGTGTGGTGCAGAGCAGTGGTCCCAAACCTTTTCCCAACTGTGGACTGGGTGTGTGTGGCACACCTGCAGGGGGGCAGAGTGCTCTCTCGTGCATGCGCACATCTCGCTCGCGGGGGGGCGCTCGTGTGCATGCACACAGTGCCCTTGCAGGGGGCAGAACGCAGGCTGAATGAGGGCAGAAAGCTCTTGGAACAGCCCAATAGTTGCACATCCCGCTCGCGGGGGGGTGCTTGTGTGCATGCACACAGTGCCCTCGCAGGGGGCAGAACGCAGGCTGAATGAGGCAGAAAGCTCTTGGAACAGCCCAATAGTCACTATTGAGGATGTGAAGTCCTGTGCTATTCCTGACAGCATGGACCCAGCATGGATTGTGAAGTCTCCAAGCACAGCAAAACAAGGGTACTGAGACACCACACAAGGCCAACTCAACTAGCTCAGGAAAGTGAGTGATCCTCTGAGGGGAGAATAAAGAATACCAAGAGAAATCTACCTGAAGCACAGTGTGTGTCTGATATTTGGGTTCTGATTGCTCTTTCCATAGACAACTTGGGCTTGCAAATGTTATATCTCACTGCAAGTTGGGGTTCATCTGTCATTCAGCCAGCAATTTGTATTTTCTCCCACCGCCAACAGCTTCAGTTTTTTAAGGCAAGGGATATAGGTTGAGTTACTGAGGGAATGGGGTCACCATCCAAAGAAGAACACATCAAAGAGGATAGGTCCTTGGGGGAGCAACATGAGCCACTTCTCCCATTTGAGTAAAGGGAGGAACAACATAAACATTGACAATTATAACTGAATCCCTGAACCCTATTTTCTCCCACCGCCAACAGCTTCAGTTTTTTAAGGCAAGGGATATAGGTTGAGTTACTGAGGGAATGGGGTCACCATCCAAAGAAGAACACATCAAAGAGGATAGGTCCTTGGGGGAGCAACATGAGCCACTTCTCCCATTTGAGTAAAGGGAGGAACAACATAAACATTGACAATTATAACTGAATCCCTGAACCCTAGCAGATACCACTTCAGGCAACATGAGCCACTTCTCCCGTTTGAGTAAAGGGAGGAACAACATAAACACTGACAATTATAATTGAATCCCTGAACCCCATTTTAGCAGATAATTTTAATCTTTTTATGTTTTCTTGTTTTAATCTTTTAATTGTATTTTAAATCACATATGGTTTTATTTATCTTTCAATATTTAACTTATTGTGTTTTTAAATTCTGTGAATTTTAATGTTGTGAGCTCCTTTGGGTCCCTTGTTGGGAGAAATGTGGCTTATTATTATTATTATTATTATTATTATTATTATTATTATTATTATTATTATTATTATTATTATTATTATTATTATTATTATTATTATTATTATTG